CCCCCCCCCCCCCCCCCCCCCTTTTTTTTTCCAGAAAAGCACAAAAACTGGCTGAGATGTTCGTTGCTCAAGTTCTTAGGGGTCTGATTTGAAGTTCTAAGCAATATCTGAAAAGATTGGAGTAATGACTTAAAACAGAAAATAGATGACATTTTATAGAGACAAATATTTGTTTTATAGTAGTATGAGAAAAAGAAAGTCAAGAAGTACAAGAAAAGCGGCAACGACAGTCAAATTCCGGAAATATTCTAACATAGGACACCCTCCAGAATTTCAAAGTTCAATCAAGTGACAATAAAAAATTTGAGCATAATTTATATAATTGCAACCCCAATCAACGATCTTCTCGGCGGCCGGGGAAGAGATTTGGTGCTAGCATTGCCAGCAAATTAAATCAAATCAGTTCAAGACAAAACATCATAATAACCCATGTTTGACATACTAGGAAATACTGCCTCCATTACTACCAAAATTCTTAATAAGAAGCAAACTGAGAGCTGCTCTTGAGGATGGCTGCCGTAAAATGATTGAGCTCCAGAAAAATGCAAATATGGCAGCCATGGATGATCTAACATCGATAAAATCTCAATTTCTGCAAAGAGACGAAAGAAATTACAAGGTCTTGCAACTAAAGCAGAGAATATTCATGCAATCAAAACCAAAAACATACCTATACCATCTTTTATTCTTTTGACATATTTGTGGACATAATGCATGCACTTTGACCGTTCATAAAAGTACTAATAGATGATCTGCAGACTGGTCCCGCTAGAAGCTTTTGGACCACAGAAACGGATGAATTATTCATGCAGTCACTGAACACCACAGTTCGAGCATCATCTGAGATGTGATATCTGATGGATTTGATTGTATCAAAGTAACCGCCTTCACAAGGCGCTTCCAATCCATCAATAACCTGTAGGCATGAAAGGAAAATATCAGAAAAATATACAAGCACATATGTATTTCAAGATCTTTCCGATTACAAACTCTCTGGTTTTTTCAATTTTCACATTTTAACTTATATAGATGGCACATAAAATGGCGCATTAGATAAAATAAGTAAAACATTTAATGGATATTAAATATGAAAAGTTCTTCTAAAGAAGAATGGGGATAATTAAAATTTACCAGTAAAGAAACCCCAGATATGTCAACCGCCTTTAAGGAGATAAGCTCCAATAATCTCTGAGGGGTAGAGATGAGAAATTCTGGTTCACAACTCTTTAAACTGTCAAGTCAATACAATTACGTAAGGTGAAAAGCTTTGTGCACTAAATAAGATTACATTGCAGATATCATCAGTTTGAACACAAATGGCCCACTATGATAAACACAAATTTCTGTTAAAACACTGCTGATTGCTTACTGTACATTCAGTAATATCATTATGGTATTGTAATAACATTTTGTAGGGACTACTCTTCCAGGATCACTCATCTAAATGACAAAAACTAAACTAGTCAGAGAACCAAACTATTTCGAGCTTCCAGGAAACTCTCAACCTTTTTCTGGCACAATTAAACCAAAACTTAAAAAATCGTGAAATTGACAGACAAGTAATTATGCCCCTGTTTGGCCCCTATTTTTCTCGCTCTTCTTTTCACCCGCACATTCTCCAATAAAATAATATTACACATAAACCAAAAACTTTTCCTTATCCATCCACGTGCAGCATAGCTTGTGTTGCAAAAGCTAGTTTTTCATAGCACATAATATGAAGACAATACATAAACAAGCTTACTTATAGGTCAATCTCCATGGACATAATTAATGATAAGGATGTATTACTACATATCTATTACCATGTATATTTTAGGGATTGGGGAAGTCACCAATATAAAATTCCACACTTTTGAAAATATTTACTTAACAAATCTTCAGCCCATAAATTTGGTCAGGATACTAACCCATTAATTTGATGTTCTATGGAGGCACCTGGATGCAGACTCACTGTATGAATTCCGATAGCTTTCAAAGGCTTGCACACTTGGCGTGCCTGATAATGGGTACAACATAGCCATAAATGAGATAATAAATCATTTAACAAGTCAGGACGGATTTTAAAGTATATAGTATCCAAAGTACAGGTGGAATTTGTTTTTTGTAAAATTAAAAATAAGCCATAGAGTTGTCCATTTTACCTTACAGTGCAAACAATTGTTTTTGTACAAGCCAGTAGAAAATATATTTCAGACTGAAACAGTAAGTAGTGTCAGAAGGAATTGAAGGCTGCATTTTCAAAATAGTTTCAAAAGTAGTTTCTGGAAATCAAGTGAAACCTAAAGGAATATTTAGCCTCAGAGCTAAGTTAAACCAGATAATAACTCATTAATAGTCAGGCAAAGAGGGAAGATAATAGCTCAATGTATGATGTGTATTTGAAATCTAGCAGACTATAGTATACCCACCTGAGAAGCTTTTTCTTGAGATGGTACAAGGAATAAAAGGAAAGGACCAGTAAATGACACTCCCTCTTTCTCCTTTCTTGCAATGGTATCAGCAGCAGTTGATGCGATCCAACTAATTTGCTGAATTGTGGAATAGGCTCCACTTGTTTCCAGTAAGTTTTTTCCATTCGAATAGCAATTCCAGAACTTGATCCCCCATGCATTGGCAAAAAGTGGTTTATCTTCACCATTAATGGTTCCACTATGACATAATGCATTCTGAACTGAATTCAGACACATGATCAAAAATTTTGATGGACATTCTATGTTGTTTTCAAAACCATGTTTCTTCTCATAGTGGTTAGGTCCATCCTCATTACTCATCTGGACCATTTCTTTTCCAAGATCAACTGCATTATCTTGCTTCATTAGTTCTTTCTTTTGATGATCATTATTTGAATCATTATTATTCAGAGACCCTTTTCTTATTTTAACACTACTCTTGTCAACAGGCAACCTATCTGCTTTGGAACGTACAGGTTTCTTCCTTTTCTTTCCAAGATCAATTGTCACATGTCTGTCATTAAAAGGATCTTCAGGCGTGGGAAGGCTAAAACACATGCCCTGGCAATGAAACAAAAGGAGATAAGGTACATGGACAATAAGAAACAGGATTAACTAATACATCATAAATGCATCGCCATACCACTGTTTGAAAAATAGGAAAAGAGTCGGACAAAAAAAAAAAAAAAAAGGAAGAGGAAAAAACAATGAATGTACATATCATGATATACATATACTGAAGCAACAACCATTCTTTAATCATAATTTTGAAGCAACACGGGGAAAAAAAGGCATAGTCATGAATATAAAATTATTGTTTCCCAAGAGCAATAAAAATTTCCATTGCAGGAAAATTTAGTAACCAGCAAGACACATTGGATAGCAAAATTCACTTCCACAAAGCCATAAACTTAATATTCTTAATTGGAATAATTTCACAAACATACATCTACTCAAACAACAATTTATGTTTAAAAAAAAAAAAAAAGAGGCAAAAAAAAAAAAAAAAAAAAAAGGAAGAGGAAAAAACAATGAATGTACATATCATGATATACATATACTGAAGCAACAACCATTCTTTAATCATAATTTTGAAGCAACACGGGGAAAAAAAGGCATAGTCATGAATATAAAATTATTGTTTCCCAAGAGCAATAAAAATTTCCATTGCAGGAAAATTTAGTAACCAGCAAGACACATTGGATAGCAAAATTCACTTCCACAAAGCCATAAACTTAATATTCTTAATTGGAATAATTTCACAAACATACATCTACTCAAACAACAATTTGCAAATTTGACAAGGGGAAAACCCAAGGCCAAGAAACACCTAGATTTACAACTTGCAAGCTAACTTATTTTCCCAGTGCAATTGTAGTTAATAATTCGAGAAAAATCTGTTTACGGACTTATCAGAAGCAACAGTAAGCTAAGCAATTGTTCTCAATAAACTTGAAACATCAACATAAATTCTTTTTTCTATTTTGTTCGATTCAGATAACATATTCTAAATTGTTCAATGAATTAAAATTTTCGCCAAGACCCCAACTTATTAATCATGATCGAGTGAAATTGAATTACTTGTTCAGGTATAGGATGCATATGTCCCAACCATCTAATTCTTCAAGGCCGTTTGTTGAATTATTTTCCTTCTTTATTCCCTATTTGTATTTTAATATTTCTCCATTCTTGAGCACTGAAACACACACGTTACACCTATTTGCATTGTAGCTGCATCACATGATGTTCCAAGAGCAAAAATATACAATTCTTGACAACAAAATCCCAGAAATGCCCACCAAAATCACATAAACTCATATTCTCTTTACTCCCAAAAAATGTCACCAAAATCAAAAGAAAAATAATTATCCAAAAAACCCAAAATGAAAAAGGAAAAGATCTCTCTCTCTCTCTCTCTCTTTTTCCAAGAACAAACATATATAATACTTGACAATAAAATTCCAGATAATCCCATAAAAATTACATCAACCCAGATTCTCTGTACTCCCGCAATTATCACCAAAATCGAAAGGGAAAAAAATTAAATCCAAAATACAGAATGAACAAGAAAAATCTCTTTCCTGTAAAGTTACCTGACAGTGGCGGCGTTTACCAGACATCCGCCGCTTCTTGGCGGCGATAATGGAAGCAACGCGAGCAGAAACCTTTGAGGAAGAATCTTTGTTTTCCTGCTTTTTTCTGATCTTTCTGTTCTTTCTTCTCGCTATTGAATTGTCACTTTTTCCCATTTCTTCAGTAACTAATGAAAGATCTTAGAGCAAGGAGTTAAGGCGGCTTATCATGTTCGCGTGCTGATTTTCTGGGTGGAAGTTTGTGTTGGGGTTTGTGGATATGTTTGGAATTGTTTTGAAAGTCTATGGGTTTTCTCGTCATTTGACAGCCTGAGAGCACGTTTGGCCTGGTGAAAGACTATTAGACTATCACTTTAATTGCATTTAAGGTTCCGAGTCTCCCTTCTAGTGACCCTCCCTTTTGACCAAAACCTCAGTCTCGTCGGAACGGGGCAACTTTTTACCCCGTTTAATATATTTATTATTATTATTATTATTATTATTATTATTATATATATATTTTCAAGATTTCGAATTATGTTATTATTAAAAAACAAAATACAAATTTAAAATGAGTTTTTAATGAAAGAATTGTTTAGAAATAAAATTATTTTTATTTTTATTTTTTACTTTTTCTTCACGGGACAGGTTTTTTTGCCCCATTCGGATCGAGACGGGACGGGTGAGGGTGGGGTAAATTGTCTACACTACTTCGTTCATTTTAATGCTTAGGGAGAATTACAGCAACCATACCAAAACTTTCAATTTGGAGCAAACTTAATCCAACCCTTTCATTTGTACCATTCATGATATCACAAATGGATGGAAACTATTAATTGACTTCAAAAAATAATTTTGGCCAAATCTATAAAGGGCAAAATGGCAACTTCACAATTTTTCACTTAAAATACAATTAAAATATTAAATAAAAGTAAGAAAAGAAAAATAAATTTAAAACATTTGCCACTCTGTTGGCACCATCGTGCAACACAGTCGGCACCACATCCAGGGACCTGAAAATTGGAAAACCAATTATCTTCTTCACCCTTCAACATCGTCGAAACGACATCGACTTGGTATTAATTCTTCTTCACCCTTCAATGTCAACCGAGTTATCTTTTCGAATCACCACAAATTATAGCTCGGGCCTCTATCTCCTTCCCAAATCCGCCTCCATCTCTTTTAGTGGTGGCCCTGACTATATGCGAAATAGACGATTGCCTAAAACTTCACTTTGGTGAGAGCCCCAAATTACGTAACGTTAATTTATTGAAGAAAAATAAAAATTATATTTCTAAAATTCTTTAAAATAGAATTATCAATATGCAAATACAAAAAACTAATAAAAAACGAAAATACAAAAATCTTTAGAAAAACATATAAATGACATAGAGTTTATCACTTACATTTACGTATCATATAAATATATCACAAACATTACACTCTCCCTCTTTTTAAGTAATTTAACCATTTATCTTCCAAACATCCATTTTCTATTCTTAACCAAACAAAAATGTCTCTTTATCCCTTCAAATTTCACGTCTACGGTCTAACAGTAACTCATCATAATTTTTTTCAACCAAACAAGAAGTGAATTATCTCACGTGGAATTAAAATTTTGAAAATTCGATTTAATAGATTGGTTTGGTTTCACTGTATTTATTACAACCTTACAAGTTTTTCAATTTACCCTTTATATTCAAAACATATACTACAAAGTTTATAGGCTATTATTATTATTGTTTTGCTTTAATCTCACGATAATAATTTTTTTAGATACTTGTTAAAGGTACTTTGAATTTAATAATTATTTGTCTGTATTCGCACTTCTTAATTTTAAGATAATTTAGTATGAATTAATATAAAATTAGGAGCTCATTTGTATTTGTATTTGATTTTCATTATTTTGTTATATCATATCTCACAGTCAATTTTTTTTTCAATTTTGTACATAAATCACTCAAATGCACATTCAATTTTGTTTTAAATAGTTGCATTGAGAAAATAATCAAAGAAACAAACTGACCCTTTTGCTATTGTATTATAATTCTGTATGCCAAACTTCACTTATCATTTGTATTGCATGTTGAATTTTGGAGTTTAGTTGTCTGTGTTAGGTTATTCATAATTATATTAAAACTCTCTATAGAAATGTTCAAATAAGAATACGATAATTTTTCTTCAATAGGACCCTGTATTTAAAGTTGGTATAAGGCCTCAAAACATCAAGGACAACCCTGATCTCTTATTCTACTGGTTGTAGACTCTTGGCCACACCCAAAAATGACACTTAAGTTGCCTACATCCTACCGGAGTTTGGGTTTAAATGAGTTTCTAAAAACCTTGTATATAGCATATCCCATAGCAAGCAACCCAGTGGATCAACCAAAAACCGAGGTTTCAAGTAACTATGACTTTTAACGCTTGATTCCAATTTGCAAATAGGAATGGGGATCACGATAGGTAATTGAGAATTGGACTAGGATATCAATTAGAAAAGCAAATTGATTGGACCTAGCTTCTAATTCCAACGAAATAGAGCTTAGTCGATACGCCCTGTTCAACATATTCTAGTCACTGGTGCTAGACGTGCTACTGGCGGTGCCCATGCTTATATCGAAATTACTTTCTCCAGGTTGGAGCGAAATCTTATTGAAGATAAACGACGTGGGCACATTCAGGAATATTTGCATTTGTGGTTGCATGTTTTGTTTATGGGATTGTGAGTGGTGTTCTAGGGAAGACTCCTATTTTCCCTTTGTTGCTGAGGCTGCAGGCTGCCAATTAGAATGAATGAATGAACCATCAATGCACTAATTTTTCATTTACTATGAAGCTGGAAACCCATTACCACCACCTACTCCTACACCGGTACATGTAGTAATAGTAGTAGCAAAGCTATGGTGGAAGGAGTAGTGGTGGAAGGAGCAGTGGCACCGACATGAGGTGGGTGGCAGTTGCATCGGGCGCTGCCCACTGGTTGCCAGTGTTGGGAGCAGCGGTGGCAATGGTGATGGCGCCAAAAGGTGTTGGTAGTTTTAGGGTAGAGGGGTTGGAGAAGAAAGGGATGGTAGTGGGTGGTTATTGTGTTTGATTTTTGTTTTTTTTTTTTTAATTTAATTATTAATTTAGTATAATTGGGAGCTGCCCATTGGTTGCCAGTGTTGGGAGCAGCGGTGGCAATGGTGATGGCCCCGACAGGTGGTGGTGGTGGTAGTTTTAGGGTAAAGGGGTTGGAGAAGAAAGGGATGGTAGTGGGTGGTTATTGTGTTTGATTTTTGTTTTATTATTTAATTATTAATTTAATATAATTGTGTTTTTTGCTGAAAAATGTAAAATTATCATTTTATCCTTTTAAAATTAATCAAAATTATGGTCAAGGTCAATTCTTTGTCAATTAACAATCAAACTAACGGTTTCTATCTATTTGAACTTTGGGTGCAAATGTTTGAAATGTTTGATATAGTGGATAATACAAATGAAAGATTTGATTTAAGTCTACTCCAAAATGAAAGGTTCAAGTCTAATCGAAATCATGATAATAACTCCAAAATGTCAAACCGCCCTTTGTTATTAAGAATTTTGTAAGAAGTAAAATATAAATTAAAATTTTTGGGTATTTATAGTGTTGGTTTTGACTTCAAACAATTTTGGGAGGTTGACGAGTCTATACAACTTCAAGTGCATAGGCCCATGACTCAGACAAAACATAAGGCCCAACTTCCATGAGAGAGCTCATGCACTGATTTTATTGGTTTAGATAATAATAAGATTTTTAGTATATTTTAATAAAAATATATAAAATGTATAGTCAAAAAGTTGATAAAAATTGTAAATTTATTTAAAAAATGAAGCCAAATGTTAGAATTTATTGAATGAAATTAAATTCCATACAGCAAAAGAAAGAGGCACTCCATGATCGAAGGAGAAGAAACCTCCATGAAAGGAGGGATTGGAATTTCACAATCCAATGATTTATTAATGAATACAATGACTCCATTTATAGAGAAAAAAGATGAGTAATTAACTGACTAATTTGCTAATCACTGACTAATTAACATCCTAGACATGAGCTGGAATATTCTAAAATTGCTGTAACATATTTCTAACACACCCCCTCAAGATGGACTATAGATATCAACAATAGTTCATCTTGAAGATTAAAGAGTACTGGAAGGAAAAAACCATGATGAATAGCATTGCAGAACAAATCTCTTGAATCCATACATATGAGCATCCATTAGATCAGCACGAAACATCACCAGATATTCCATTCCCATTCCATTTTATGCCAGTGCACAATGCTTTCAAAGTTGAGGAGACTTGTTTTGTACGACAAACTTGGTAAGGTTCATATTGCAGAAAGGGATGATGTTCTCAATGGTAGCAAACTAGTGGGTCTTCAGATTTCATCAGATCTGATGGAGAAACAAGACTTAGTGTA